AAAACTAGTTTAGTATTAAATATGCAGTTAATTCAAAAATGCATATTTAAATAAAAAAATTAATAATTTTAGCCATTTTTATATTTATGCTTACTTTAAACATGTCGGTTTTAGAATACTTGCTTTTCTGTAAACATTGGGTTTAGTTTATATAAAACAGTTAGTCTAGACATAAGTACGTGAGAGTCTGTACTGTGTAAAAATAACGAATCTTAAAACTTCTTTCAGTCTGTGTTTACCTAAGCTTATTTTTCTTAATTTTCATTTTAATTATAAATCTCTAGAGCATTATTGGACGTAATTGTATTCTTCGTTTAGAAACTTTATTTAGCAATTTTGCCACGATAAACAATACTATACATAAAACAAAAACTTCAAAAGCTTGTTGTATTTTACTTTTACAATATTTTTGCTGCGTCTTGTTGCTTGTTGAAGGGTAGAAGCTTGAGTCTTTAAATATTTGTGGTTATAATAGATTTTTATAAGATTTATCTATGTACAGTGAGTCAAAAAAACGAACCATCCTGAAAAACCTTTGACCTAATGATCGGATTTTCGCGTTCCAGGACTCAATCTGAATGGTTTGACGTGGTGCCCTCAAGTATGCTAAGCAAATGAAGCAGACAATATTTAAAGTTACGACATAAGACAGAAAAACGTACTTTCTTTTTATAAACATACTTTTTTTCAAGGGATTCAGATTTCTGATACCAAAAATATAGTGGAGAGCGATTTAAAGTTTGTACCCCTAAATGTTAATTTTACTTCTTACATTTTTCACCATATCTTGAGTACCATTTAAGCGAACTAAAAAAAAATTGCACACAGTTATAACTTCGTTTATCCAAAGAAATTCCATGAAAAGTTTAAAATTTAATAAAAATTTATTATTTTTTTATTATTTTATTAAGCAATAATCAAAAAAAGTTTGAATTGTAAGGTATACAACTTTTACATCATTTTAAAATATATAATTTTAAATGGAATAATTCAATGTTTGAGGGAAATTGGTTGAATGGTTCCTGAGAGATAGAATTTTTGAAAAGTCGTATACTAAAAATTTGATTTCTCAGGAACTATTCATCCAATTTTGCTCTTTATTTGTATTTTTCAATGTAAAATTACATAGTATAAAATTTTATAAAAAATTTGCACCTTAGAATTTAATATTGTTTGACTATTTTTAAATAAAATAATAAGTATTAAATGAAATTTATTTTTGTTTAGAATAATCTTTAATAAAGGAATTTTATAATTGTAGGCAAAAGTTTTTCTATGTGTTTAAAAATTTCTCGAGATCGGGGGTAAGAAACATTTGTTCGCTCTCCTGGTCAAACTACGAAGACCATATTTCCTGAATTGGTGCTACCTTCTATATTTTGAGGGTCAGAAATACTAATCCATAGTAAAAAGGCATGCTTATTCAGAGAGAGTACGTCTTTGCGTCTGATTTCGAAACTTAAAAAAAAGTGTGCACTAATTAATTAGCATATTTGAGGTCATCATTATTTTGGGTGGCCCGTTATTTTTCCTGGAACATTTTATGTGTATATAGGATAAATCAACAGAAATTAAGAGGAGGATACACTCTATCGTAAGCTACAAAAGTAATCTACGATGCTTTTTAGTTGATTTAACTTGCCTTGACCTTTAATATAACATAAACTTTAATCTACGACACTTATTAAGGTGATTTAACATAACTAGATTGTTTTTAGGCAAGATGTCCCCCTCTTTTTTGATTGATATTTCATAAGAATTTGGAAAATTTAAAACACCTAACAACAAAAAGTAGGGAATATAATGAGTCATTTTCCTTTCGCAGATTAAAAAAGTAATTAAATAATTTCTAATTCAAAAATAATTTTTCATTTATAACATGGGCTTAAAGGAAGAAGAAAGATTGCTTCAAATGTTTAATTAAAGTATTTTAAAGGTACTAATTTCAGATATGTCAGAGTATGGTGATTGTTTATCCACTATTCACGAGTCCCGCAGTGGACTGATCGTTAAGATACGATTCCCAGCAGATCACCGAAGTCAAGCATCACTGGCTACGGTCAGTGTGCGGGTGGGTGACCACTTGGATCAGTCTGCGTAGGGACCGAGGGTGTGCGGTATTGGTCCTCGTTAAACTGTGCTACCGTAAAGTGCTCGACTTCGCGCGCAGGTCGTCGGGCTACCGAAGCGGGGGTGCCATCCCCTCCGCAGAGATCAAAACTGTGATGGCATGTCTTCGGATCATGCTCAGGGATGTTTTCCAGACCGTGGCACAATAGCCCATTATGCAGCTCTAGTGCGACGCAAATTAACAACAACAACAACCACTACTTACGAGATAGTGGGATTTAGTTATTTATTTACGCACCTTAGGTATTATGTACTGTACGATTGCGTTAAGTATTTATTTACATTTTTTACGCTGTTTTCATTGTAAATGCAAAGAGCGGTCTAAAAACTTCTTTCAGTTTGAAAACAGAAAGCCTAATTTTACGGAAGACTGCAATAATATACATCGATTCTTATAGCTGTATTTAACCTATTACACTTACACTTCAGAGAGGTTAGCAGAAGAGCAAGTAAAACAGCATTATATTATTTGGGTCTCCATTGCCGCAGAGTGTTATCATTCTGCAAAATGTTTAGTAGCGCAAATGTAATGTGTTTAAAATTTTGTACCGTATTTCCTCATTTTTATGCAATCTGTTTAGGAATTTGTCAAGAGACAATCAATTATTTGCATTAAGCACGCACACGATCCTATAAATCTAAGCCAAATATATTTATTTACTGTTATTCATCCATGATTAAGCTTTGATTTGAACCCACTACCTCCATTTTAAATAGTGATTGGAGGAAAGACGTGACTGGTGCGAAAATAATTAAAAGGGTTATTATTAATCCTAGATTTTTTTTTATTTATTGTTACACATACATGTAAAGACTTATATGCTCATTACAAAATATCATTTATAAGCCCTTCCCAAATTTAAAAAAAATATTGATCAAATTAATGAAAAGCATTGCAAAGATGGATTTTCGCAACGTGCAGGCATTTAATTCGAATAATAGAATGCCTCAAACTGCATGTGGGGGCAGTTTTTCTCTACATTGTGTTATCGGCATATCGACTTGGCAAGAACATATTTACCCAGCTTTGAAATGAACACGCAATCCTGCGTATGTGTGCGTAACCATAAATTAATACATAGATGCATAAATAGTAGGTTTTGAACTAGCTAACTCTACTAGTGCGAAAATAATTAAAAGGGTTATTATTAATCCTAGATTTTTTTTATTTATTGTTACACATACATGTAAAGACTTATATGCTCATTACAAAATATCATTTATAAGCCCTTCTCAAATTTAAAAAAATATTGATCAAATTAATGAAAAGCATTGCAAGGATGGATTTTCGCAACGCGCAGGCATTTAGTTCGAATAATAGCATGCCTCAAACTGCATGTGGCGGCAGTTTTTCTCTACATTGTGTTATTGGCATATCGACTTGGCAAGAACATATTTACCCAGCTTTGAAATGAACACGCAATCCTGCGTACGTGTGCGTAACCATAAATTAATACATAGATGCATAAATAGTGGGTTTTGAACTAGCTAACTCTACGCCTCCATTTTAGGATGTTGGAAAAGCCCTGATGTGATCATTTTATTTACCTGATGTAGTGTTTATTTAGTAACAGTTAAGCTACTGATTCAGCACAACATTATCCACTCATTTGTACGTTTATTGTTGCTGTTTTTGCTCATTTACGTCGCACTAGAGCTATTGGCGACGGTCTGGGAAACATCCCTGAGGATCATCCAAAGACATGCCATCACAATTTTGATCCTCTGCAGAGGGGACGGCACCGTGCTTCGGTAGCCCAACGACCTGCAAGCGAAGTCGAGCACTTTACGATAGAACAGTTTAACGAGGACCAATACCGCACACCCTCGGTCCCTACGCAGACTGATCCAAGTGGTCACCCACCCTCACACTGACCGCAGCCAGTGATTCTTGACTTCGGTGATCTGCTGGGAACCGTGTCTTAATAATCAGTTCACTGCGGGACCTTGCACGTTTACAAATGTAATTTTTTAAATAAATATAAATGTTAGTAGATGTTAAATTACAGCGGGAAAAATATTCGGACGTGCGGCAAAGTTAGAGGTTAATACAGCAGGTAGCCATGTACTTTATGTACGTCACACTTGACCTGAACACTGGGCTATTGGAGACGGTCCATGACATCACAAATTTTACGAGGCCAATTCCTCAATTTAGACATAGATTTGAAGAGGAAGGAAATTTTCTCCAGATTCCTATACCCATGGTACTGCTCAGCAATCGACAGCAGCACTTTCGATTCCACAGATTTTGAGCGTGCGTATATCGCATGCACTCGGTGGGTCTTAGCAACGTCGATAATCGAATTCCGGACTCGCTGGGCTTGATCTGATTTTTTAACCACTGAGTTACCAGGACCCATCAATAAAATTGACATTATCGGGTCATCTCAAACTATACTAGCTCTGTTAAAATTACAGACTTTTGCTTAAAATTACCTAATTTCAACGTATTTACTACCAGAGAACATGGTTGTTAAAACTACCATTCAATATTAATTTAAAAAAAATTCGTTACCGAAGTGCTTCGTTAAAAATTACCTTTTTTCTTAGTTTTCCCAAAACGTACGGTAAATTTGACCCTACTCTGGTACTTTTGACCATACTTTCTTTCCCAAGTGCATCAAAAAAAAAAGGGCCAACAATATTTGAAAGACAAAACCTTGCATTTTAAAAACTGGCAAATACGCATTCGTTAAATACCATTTATATTAGTATAGGCAGTTATTATTTGAAGATATCAATTCATATATTCGCGAAACAAATACTTCTTATTTCACCAATCCCAAAATCTTTATAAGCACTTTGACGCAAAATGCTTTAGGTTGCAAAGAAAATATTTCCTTCAAAAATATTTGAACAGCGTTTCACATTCTACTGACAAACTATCACAACTCCAATCTGGTTTTCCGCGTCCCGAAAATTACGAATACGTCAATCATGAGGTTGTTCTTCGGCGACAATTACGGCCACACATTATCAGCAACTTGAAAAGAAACCTTTCTTGCAAGACGTGGTTTTCGTGGCCGTGACGGTTTCTGTTGTTCTAAACTTAGGAAATGACTAGAACCAGCGCCATCTCTTGGTGAAGCATCGCGATCAATATCGCTATTGCAAAAAGACGGCGAGAGACTGGATTGTAGGGTAGGGAATCTCAACATTATGGTCTGTGGTATACTGGCGGATAACAGCGATAGTGCAATACCGGCAGTTTCTATATTGCTCGTGGATGACTATTTTATAAAAGTGTTTTGATTTTTTGCTGCAAGAATAATAACCATTTTGGAATTACGTTTAAAATGTGGTGTCAAGAAATAATGTGTGCGTGAATTGGAAGATTAGAATATTTTTTAAGAGTGATATTGGATTGCGAGGAATTCCATGTGCCAATTCCAATTAAGGATCTAAGTATTCGGATGAGAATATAAATATTTCTCGACATTCATATAGGTGTATAGTTGACTAGTATACCAAAAAAAATTTGGTGAGTTGAAATTTACAAGATTATAAAGAAAATATTTAAGTCTATATTTTAAAAATATTTTTAAAATTAAATTTAAAAAATAGACTATCAAAATATGATTGAAAACTTCTTAACCATAACTCGATATAATGTGTTCTTCAATTGTCTTTAAAGCTTATTTTTTAAAGATTATTCAATAACAGATTTTTGGATATTGTAAATATTCCGTAAATGATTTTAAACAATTTTAAGAAAATATGTGATATATTAGGGAAATATAATATCTCTATATCAGAAAAGAAAAGTTTCTTTTTTATTTATTCATAACTATTGTATTAGGAATAATGCCGAAACTTGAATTTTTGAGAAACATCAAATATTTAAAATAAAAATTCTAATAGGAAAATAATTTATGACAAAACATCATATTGATATTCAGCATAGAAGTATGATTAAGTGAAATAGTTTTGTGTACATTTTCAAAAATCTACACACATTAAAAAACGTGAATGATTTGAATTAAACTGCAGATTAATTAAAAAAAATAATAATTATGAAAAGTACAAAATAATTAATTGTAACATCGCTCTGTGAATCGATAGTTATTCACAAATTTATTATTAATCAGCATTGGGAATCAAGTTAATATCGTAAATCTGAAGTAGATATAATACTATTATCAGAGTTTCCTTTTCTTGCTATTCATATTATCTTATGATCTTTAATACTCAATACTAGATAAGCTAAAAAGATTTGTTAATAAATTAGAAATTACATGCTAAAAAAATCTGTTGAAATAGAAGACATTTTTTAATTTCTGTTATTTTAATATACATTTGTAGGAGTTTCCCTGCTTTTTTTCTGCGAACAAAAAAAAAATTTGAAAATTTAATAACAGACATTCAAATATTTTTCTTTGAAAAAATATATTGCTTTTTTAAAAAAATCTTTTAAATAAATCTCTAAATATGTGCAGAGATACGAGTAGGTAAATTATGTATTAGTCTTCTTTACAGAGACACATTTTGACATTTAATAATACAACCTTCAGAAATATTGATAATCAAGATAGAAAAGAAAGGACATGAAGAATTAATTTATAGTGGTTTGCGTCAAATATTCTTATCGAAATAACTCGTTCGTTGGATCAAAGTTGTTTGCCGCGTAATCGGAAAACGTTTACTAATCTATAATTCAATAAGTAGTGCTTTGTTTATGGAAACAAAATTACTAGCACGGTGGAATTCTTAAATCCCTGTTTTAAAAAGAAGTTGTTTTCACAAATAAAAGAATGCTTGCCTTCATTTCTCAAACTATGGCATTTTTAAAATATCCAATTTTGTCAAGGACTAAAACGCTTAGTAAATAAGGTTTTTCATAGATTTTCTTTTATGGATTTTGCGTGGAAGCTTCTTTCTCATTTTGTCTACCGAATGATTCATTGATTATTATTAAATTTAGTTGACATTTTCACTCAAATATAATAAAATTAATCAATGCGTCTAGCACTATTTGATTTTATTAATTTTAAGTAAAGAAACAATGCAAAATTCGAATTTTAATGATTTATTAATCGTATTAAATTAGGAAATAAAAAATAGTTATAATATAAATTCCAATGTGTGATAAAATCTAATCTTTGTCTTATAACATCTGAGACATAAAAGACAACTGATGAGAACGAGATTTTACTTAAATTTATATGTTTGAATAAGCATACTTGCTGAATATGATTTATAGTTTATTTGCTTGAGACACAAAACTCAGAAAACACAATTCTTAACAATTTTATTCAATATTTTATTTATGAAAATATATATTGATTTTTGAATTAAATGATTTTGTTTCTGCAAATCGGAATAAAACTAAATAAAAAATGTTACTGTATTTCTCATTATGTAATGCTAAGAGTTATATAAAAGGTAATTGTGCATGCTTTGAAAATTTAAATTGCCTAAATTGGAACTTATACAGTAATTTGAAAGCTATTGTTTTTAAAAAATTCATGGAATTAAATATATTTATTGACCCAAAAATTCAGATTTTTCTTTATTATTTTGATTATTGTTCCTGTGATTATTAACACTAAATAATTAAAAGTTATAAAATCAATAATAAAATTATCACTTAAAAAATTTAAAAATCTATGGGCAATTAAAATTTTTTCATTATTATTTTCTTTTCACGATTCAAAACGTCTCAATTACGTTTCAGATTAAAAATGCAAAATTCTCTGAAAATATTTAATAAACGTTGAATTATTTTTGAAGTATAATTTTGCAAAAGTTTAATATTTTTTCTCAATAGAGTATTTTTTAGTATATTTTGATATTATTTGAAAAGCGGGTTGGCAATTTTGAGAGAATATTTCAGAAAATCTTCAATCATGACAGAGGAAATACAGGAGTTTTTAAAACAATGCTTTTAGAACATGAAAATGATTCTGAAATTTCTCTTTGAAATTTGCGAAATTTTGGTTTGTTATAAATAGATATTAGTAAATGTAATGTTTGCTGTTTGTAAGATCACCTTAGATTTATTCAGTAGCTTTACTTTCCTTAAAATTATGATGAATGCAACCGAAAATTCCATGATAATTTTACCTTTGATCTGCAAAGTTGATCCTTTCTACTCTTGTTATACAGTACTTAATAATATACAATAATACTGTTATTAGTGACATATAGTATTATATATTACTATAAGATACTTAAGTACTCTACATTTAGAAAAAACTAATTCTTTATTTACGTTTAAGTGTAAATTTAAGTTTCATTAATAATTTCAAAATTAAAATGGTTCTTAATTAGTTTTTATTATGGTCAATATCTTTTGTACGCTTTTAATTCACGCAAAACAATTCAGAAGTATTTAATTAATATGTAGAGGTAGGCGAGTTATTTGTTACAATGTTTACTGAAAATAGCCCTTTAACTGATGCTTTTAAAAGAATTAATAAAATTCTCTAAATGACTGTCATTTATATATGAAAAAAAATTAAGAGCTGTTTAAGCCATAAATATTTCAAATATAATTTAAAGTTTAACAATGCCAAATGATTTCTAGTTTATGTTTTTGGATTGGAAAGCCTGAACGGAAATTTTATGATTCATCAATTCATTATATTTTACCTTGAAAACTTAATTATACACCAGAATTATTAGGGAATATAAAAAATATATATTTTTAACATTCAAAGACGAAAGAATTATATTTTACTTTCCATTTAAATTACTCAACTTAATAAACCTAATTCCATTCGTTATTTTTGTTACAATTAGCAACAAATATAAATTAAAAACTTTAAATGAAAATATTGAAATGGACCTAAATATAAGATCTAAATGTGCACTTTCATATATAATACTACCAAATTCATAGCCAAATTTGTTTTAAAAAGTCAGAATTCTGAGCTTTTTTAATTTTCTGATCTTCTCGCAGAATTCTCGAATTTTTCTCAAATTCTAATTACTTTTTCCTTTTTTCTAATTTTTTTCTGAATTCTAATGACTTTAGAGAAATTTTTATATTTTATTTTTAATAAAATGCATCGAGTAAATACTAATTTTAATCTCACTTGCAGTCGTAGAGTGAAAAATTTAAATACAATAAAGACAAACTCCTTTTTCTTCCAACAAATGATATTACTATAGGTCGGCAAATCAAGTACGCAATAAAAATAATAGGGCAACAATTTGTCCTAAAGTTTTACCATATACAACAATAAGCGACAATACAGAGAGAAGCATTAAAAAAGGCTGTGGAAATTATCCAATTTAAAATAATTTTAACTGATATTTAGCTAATTTAAAATAGAAATTTGAACCTTCAATTAATAATGATATCAGATTCATGTCTTAAATTTATTTCAAGAAATTTCCTCAAAATTTTCTCAATTGTTTGAACTACCTACTCTCAAAATTTATAAATTTTTTCTCAAATTTCAATTATTAATTACGTTATTTAATTGCTTTCTTTCTAAATTATATATACTTTTATTTTCTAAAATTCTAATTACATTTGAATATATTTCATATTTCACTTACACTTTCAATCATTGAGTGAAAAACATAAATACAAAAAAAATGTCATAAACCTTTTTTTTCAACAAATGACATTGTTTTTGCTCGGAAAAACAATTATATAGCAGAGACATTAGGACAGTAAATTTTAATTTGGCTGAATGTGTTCTTCCTGCCACATACAGCAATACAGAATAAAGCATTAAAGAAATCCGTAGAAGTTCTATAATTTTAATGGATATTTTGCTAATTACTTACTAGCTAATTTAAAATCAAAATTTGTGGTTTCAGTTAATAATGATTTCAAATTCATGGCCTAAATTTATTTTAAGAATTTTCCTCAGAATTCTGAATTTTCTCAATTTTTTTAACTATCTTATCTCAGAATTCACACATATTTTCTCAAATTTTAATTATTAGTTATGTTATTTAATTACCTTTTCTAAAATTCTAATTACTTTTGAATAAATTTCATTTTTTACTCACACAGAATTTTTCACTTTCAGTCGTAGAGTCAAAATGATAAATACGAAGAAAAAATAACGCCTCTTAAACCCCTTTTTTCAACAAATGACACTACTATTGCTCGGAAAGACAATTATTTAGCAGAAACATTAGGACAATAAATTTTAATTTGGCCCATTGTTTTCTTCCCGCTATATACAACAATACAGAATGAAGCATTAAAAAAGGCAGTGGAAGTTCTCTAATTTAAAATAATTTTAATGGATATTTTGGTAGTTACTTGCAAACTAATTTAAAATCAAAATTTGTACTTTCAATTAATAATGTCAGATTCATGGCCTAATCTTATTTTTAAGGATTTTCCTCAGAATTCTGAACTTACTCAATTTTTTGAACTATCTACTCTCATTTTTCCGAAATTTTAATTAGCAATTACTTTTTTTTAATTACTTTTTTCTATGAATTCTAATTATTTTTAAATAAATTTCAGATTTTATTTACACAGAATTTCTCATTTCCTGCCGTAGAGTAAGA